TCGTTCATCTGATCAGGTTAAAAACAAACAACCATTGTTACGTTGTAAGAAGCATAACATCTTAATAGCCATAGCTGAATTATTATAAAGCAATAGATATCACCGCCACAGCCTTATTAAAATGATAATGTTAGAAAAAACATCATGATAGCCAATTTCAAATTACAGTTAACCAAGAATGTTATATTAGATCTTTATGAAATAGCATTCCATATATAAAACAGCCATTTTGGTATTGACCTTGTATACGTGCCGCACGCGCATGTTTGTTTCCCTAGATAGTTTGGTAAAAGGACGATTTTAATGTCAAACCCGGATCATTGAATAACATTTGTGTTAAAATGCCGCCATCCGATTAAAATCAGGGATCGATATCCAGGGAAATATCTAATGGAATTTGAAAATCAGGAACGGCACTATTAGGGGTTTTTCAGTCCTTTTTTTATTCTATCAAGTTTAGACATAATACATACATAAAAATGAGATATGAAGTTTTAAAAGGGAAGTCACTTTCGACATGCCTTCCTTGACTCAACATACACACACAAAAACACTTAACAACTGTAGGCAAGCCATCACAGATCCCAATAACAACATGAATATGTAATGAAAAACAAGTATTAGTTCTGGCATTAAAATCTCCGATAAGTAAAAAAAAAAAAAAAAAAAAAAAAAAAAAAAAAAAAAAAAAAAAAAAAAAAAAAAAAAAAAAAAAAAAAAAAAAAAAAAAAAAAAAAAAAAAAAAAAAAAAAAAAAAAAAAAAAAAAAAAAAAAAAAAAAAAAAAAAAAAAAAAAAAAAAAAAAAAAAAAAAAAAAAAAAAAAAAAAAAAAAAAAAAAAAAAATGGTTAACGTTATATAAACCTGAATTGACAGATCATACGATTAACTTCTTCTGGAAAACAGGAAAACATAAATTAGTTTGACACTGAGTTATATAAAGTCAACATACAGACACATTCGTAGAATCTCTCTTGTCTACAGTCAGTGATTGTCCGTACGTGTTATCGATAACTCTGAATCAAACAGACTTGACGATTATTATTTGACCTGCATCTACAATAAATATAGTGATTTGATGTTTCTTGCTTTACATTTTATATTATAATATTGTGTTTGGATTAGCTATTAAAAAACAATAACTAGCCATATATGACATGAGCAGTAACACGCATTGTACTTTTAAATGAGATTATATGCAGACAGAATATACAGCTTCCCATGGTTTTAAGGACGAAATTACACCACAGAAAAACAAACGTGATATATGTCAAGATAAACAAGAAAGGACAAAACTAGAGCGCAAATAACATAGGAGTGAGTCATACGTAAAAACACCGAGCTCAATCCTCATTGCTTCTGCTCATCTCATGGTAAAAACACCCAACTCAATCCTCATTGATTCTGCTCATCTCATGGTAAAAACACCAAACTCAATCCTCATTGCTTCTGCTCATCTCATGGTATAAACACCAAACTCAATCCCCATTGCTTCTGCTCATCTCATGGTAAAAACACCAAACTCAATCCTCATTGTTTCTGCTCATCTCATGGTGAAAATAAAGGCTGGAGTTCAGTTCATGTCTGGCCTTCACGTTGCTCTGAACGAAATTATAACAGCAACTGGTTATAACATTCAATTTGTGTCTGTAACTTGAAAGCAAAACTAATCAATTAGATGTCAAACTAATAAAAAAAAAGTTGATGCCGTACTCCGCATAAAAAGGGCTAAACCTAACTTTGCTTAATTTGCTTAAAATTCAGAACAACAACGGGACGCATTCGTAAATGTTCAATAGTTTATCAACGTCAGCCTTGAGATAAGGCATACATTTGTACGTGAATTAACTACACCAACGGGACTGATACAGTTTATCTTTGCCGTTCCCAAAGGAATGATATATCATTATTTCAGGTCTCTGACAGAGATGTTTTTCTTTTGAAAATTAACTGATGCCTGGTTTACGCTTTTCTGCAAAGTGTTGCACACAGCATAAATATCCGGCAATGCTAACTCGAATCAGATCACATGACGTCAATTGTGTTGTTTTCTTTGTTATAGTTTTTCTTTAGTCAGATGGAAAGTTCCTGTTGTAGTTTTGCATTGACATTGAAATCTCATTTTCTATGTGCGGTAAAACAGTTTGTCGTTTTTATATATCAATTTTTAAATTCGCAATGAATAATTCATTTTAAACCAGTGATAAATTGCTAAGGCGGTTTTTAACATTTCTAATATCGACCTTTCTCTCAAATTGTCATTATGAAGACGTTCGGTAACCATTTCGACGTGAGTTTCGAACTAATCCTTTAAATGATGCATCAGCGAAGCATTAAAGTGTTTACATTTCGAATCGATGAATCTAGGGAGTGCCATACTAATATAATGAAGATCGTGTAATGATCATTTACTGTGCTATACTTCAGGTATCAGATTACCAAGGGCTCCCTAACGAGTCCTTATTCTCAATTTCTAAACTGAACGATGTTGGAATCCCGAAAAATCTGCCAATTCCTCAATTTACACTTTGCGATTATTTAACGTCAGTAATTTGCATCCATTTATTTCCTGGTTGAAGTTCCAGAAATCTTATCTTCTGTTATTTGCATATATACATTTTAATGTTTTATGTGAAATTTATCTATTCTGTCAAACATACGCAATAAAACAACTGCATAGCAGTTTCCCTAAACACAGAGCGCTTAATATATTGAGATATTTTTTGAAAGATAAATCGAACGTTTATACGCTATAAAGACAGGAAAACTCTATATTTGACATAATAAACACAATCGCTGATTCCGAATACCGTCAAACACCCATATATTAGAAAATATCGTATGCTGATCGTAATGACAATGGTTTAGCCTATTAGCAGTTTATCTTTAAGTATTATACTTTCTAATATGTCGGAAAAGACTTTGCATTAAATGTATTGTTCATGTTCCCAACGACGTCAATATACCCTGGCTTACCTATGATGTAACAGTTCTCTGAAGATATTATAAATAGTATCGTCTTTGTTGTCATTTTTTGTGTAAAGTACATACACATAACCGATAATAATATACAATTTACAACTAGTGACTTTTATGATAACAAAGGAGTGTGCTTACCAAGTAAAAGTGATAATCTAATATCATTTTCGACGGCCAACGAACATTTTTTTTAAGAATGATTTTGTACAATTTATAATACAGTCCTTGCAAAACAAGGGTCTAAATTAACATATTTTCTTTTTAAAATGGACTAAATAATACAATAACAAAACCTTAAAGTTTTTTCTCTCGACAATCAGACGCGTTTTTACTTTTTTCTGTTATGGTTTACTGCCCGACGATTGACAGTCTCTGATTTATCACAATGTCATTTGCCACGGATATTCCCCTATTGTTACTTTTTGTCTAGTTAATCAAATTTTGTTGATGCAAATCATGCCGTGTTTTGATACTTTGAGATTTTATCTTTAGTACTTAGTCAATTTCACATAAACTAGTTAAATTTCAAAAGAATAAGCTGTGGCCAGGCAGGATGCGAGTTTTAATAAATTATTCTTACTTTTTTGTATTTTTATTTTTAGTAATATTTGTCCGTAATATACATGTAAGTCCAATTGCAATAAAGTCAGAAATTGGAATATTTGCAACGTTTTGCCTATTTTTTATTCATTTTCTAGCGGTAAATCTTTTACATTATCCTTTTTGCTTTCTTCTAAATCAATAAATTTAACATGATGTAGGAATTACCTTGATGATTCGCTATCACACATATCAGGAATAAGTAAGGTTTGTATGTTATTAGATGCATGAATAAACTTCTCATGGGCTAAGAAAAAAGGTTAAAGGCATTTAAGTCAATAGAGGCACCAGGTGTCACAAAATGGAAAATAAAATAGAAGGCAAGCATATTGATTTCATCTTAAAATTTGAAATTCTCATCATCAAAATGAAAAGAGGAACATTGTAAAATTTTAAGACAGAAAATCTCCTGCGACTAAAGTGGTACTTTTATACCTTAAGACAAGCTTGAGTGCATGTGATTACATTAATATAATTATAATAAATCTAATGTCATCCGTCGTATTAAATAGGTAAGTTATTCTACCTGGAAAGTGGAACAATCCCTGTTACATATACTCTTCAGCTGGTCAGAAGATTTTGATACCTTCATTCACTGGTGTTTGTGGCACATATGTTATCGCAAACGCTTGTTACTATTGACTAGGTGTATGTTTGTTTCCCAATCAAGCACACTTGGATACTGCTTTTACTCGCCGCTATATTTCATTAATTTGGACATATCGATGTAATGGGCATGAACATCAGATACAATTCATATTCGATATGGTCCAGTAACGCTGTGTTTGTCTGTTAATATCCAGATATTTTAAACAACACTCATATCACCTCGAACGGTTGCGAATTGCAATCAGTAGTAGGTACTTGATTTATGTCTATTGCGACTAGAGGCTGAAAACAAATACCTTAACGCCGAATAAAGACGTTCGATAAAAGTGTGTCGAGAAACATTTAGCGTTGTATAGTACCTGATTTCGACGCCTGTTTAAAGGGTAATGTTGCTCTTATCTGCACTGATACAGTAGTTTTCAGGCCATGTAATACAATATCTGCATTACATACCTTGATAATACAGAATTGAGAGAAAATCGGTACCGCGGACTTAAGCGCCATTTAACGCTACGGTAGCCTAACGCTATTATTTCGTTTGGGACGTCGTTTTGTCTTCAACTGTTGTTCGATTCAATTTAAAGTAAGGAAATGATGTGTTTATTATGTCAAAGGATATATGCCACTCAGGCTAAAGTCCTTGTATATCCACACGCACAATGCACTTTGGTATATATGACGTGCACAAATGTGTGATACTGTCTATCGATCATGCATCGTCTTATCAGATTTTCATTCGTCTGTTATGAAACATTCTGGTATCTGCCCATTTTATAATTTAATTAAAAATATTATTGTTTTCTTTTCATTTCAGGTTCCCCAAATCACTTTTCTGTCAATCATGTTGCTGACAATAGTCATTGGGAACGCGTGCGTTCTGGCGGCCATCATGCTGTCTGATAACGGGAGGAAAACCAGGATGAATTTCTTTATCATGCATCTTGCCATATCAGGTACATTTTAAAGAACAGTATCCAAAAAGCTATGAGGAGTTAAAAACAATCAAACATGCTGTATTTGTGAATGAATCTCCTGTTTGTCAATTATAAAAGCGCAAGAAAAATATATTAATACGGTCATGCGATTTCTTAAACACGTGTATTACTCATGTTATAATTCGTTCCACGATAAAACTCACCAGTAACTGGTCATCTGCTAGACCACGTTGTTTTTTCTCCAGCGACACCGTTTTCCTCCTAAATGAAGACCCCCTACACATTTCCATCGCATCCAACAATCGTTATCAATATTAACTGGCCCTTGCCCTTACCCTAACCCTAACAATAGAATAACTTACAGTATGGTTAAACATACTCATCAACTATTGTTCATGTAATCCGCACAATATAAATTATTGTATGTCCATGCTGAAGTTAATTTTGTATGCAAGACCCTACATAAATGACGTTTTTGCAAACCTTCGGAATTTTTAACATTAACGTAGTTGATTTGTGTCTCTCGTCCAATAAAAAATACGCGTGACTGGGTGACAATATTGGTTAAGTATTAATAAAAGTTTGTCTGTAATAATCACTTAATGTATACAACAAATTTTGCAATTAATAATTAAAACATGTCTGTTATAGTTATATCTGTTGTGCCATTGTGACTATAAATTCCTCAAATGTTAAAGCTTGATTTGTCATGTAATATGCTGAATGGAACAGTATCATGTTGTGAAAAATGTACATATGGTTGTAAAAATACTTAATTTTGTCTGGTATTGCTTTTATGTACTGTTCCAAATAACAAAACACCCTGGTTTTGGACCATACTGATGCTATAGCTCAATGGCCTCTTTTTGGTAAAACTAACTAATTAATCTTGATTCTGAAATTGCAAGTTCAAAATTATACACAAAATTTGTTTTCAATATTCTAAGATATAAATATCATTTGATCATTGACGTACTTCGTTTAAAAAAAAATGTATTATGTAACATTAGGAAAACATCCAGTGACATTGACAATATAACTTTATATTAACGTCATTCTAAAAATAACTTTGCTGTTAACGTTGTTTGATGTTTATTCTTGCGAACTACATTTTGAAATAACCATTTATGCGACAGTTCCCCTATTGGTGTGATATTATATTTGTTTACCCCTCAGAGGCAATATCATTCACGAATAATCCCTCGGTTAGTATAAAAAAAAATCGGTAAACAACTCCCCATGTAACACTAATAAAGTATCAGGAATTCAGCTTTAAAAGCCTTTTAAACAGAACGATATGTCTAATTAAAAATGCACCTTTCGCTGTAGTTTTTGTGATGACTATCACAATGAAGCGATAAATTGCAGAGATCCACACTCTAGCTATTGATAGTAACAGAAGCTACATCACTTTGATCATATTTCAGTATTGCAGTGTCTCAAGAAATCATTAAATCAACCAAAAGCGACATTAAACAATTTATCAGTAAATTGATAATGAACGTCCTTAAAACGAATGAATTTAATACGGGTTGAAACCAAAATATTTGATTGTTTGATGTTAATTTTTCTTCATTTAAAGACCTCTCAGTGGGAATATTCCTGGTGTCCATTGATATAGCCGAGAAAATCTTCATTGAGTGGCTGGCTGGAAATGCATTGTGTAAAATATTGAATTTCCTGAAGGTAATGTATCCACAAATATAATACGATACTCATAATATAATTACTGATACAAATTTCCAGAAAAAAAGTTTGAACAGTCGCTTTCTAGTTTAAATGAACGATTTTGCATAATTATTAACGATTATTTCATTCTTGAATGAGGTGTTCTTATCAGATTACTATACTACAAAAACACGTATTTTTTTACTAACTATTCCTATGACATTAATCGAAATTTGTGATTAAGGGTAATAGCTCGCGTTTTCTGATACCCATAGTGTAATTACTGATACAAATTTCCAGAAAAAAATGTTAAACAGTCGCTTTCTAGTTTAAATGAATGAGTTTGCATAATTATTAACGATTATTTCATTCTTGAATAAGGTTTTCTTATCAGATTACTATACTTCAAAAACATGCCTTTCCTTACTAGCTATTCCTATGACATTAATCGGAATTTGAGATTAAGGGTAATAGCTCGCGTTTTCTGATACGTTTATCGGGCGCATTATAAACGGCCCCTCTTGACCGATTTCATGAAATACTATCGGAATGTTTTTTAGTATTAGCATTTAAATTGCATTAAATCAAGAAGAAACAATATATTATATTTCAAAGCACTAGAGAACTGAAAGTTTCGACGCTTGTGTTACAAGTTTGAAGCTTTAGAAGCCTTAAAAGATATCGGATTAAAAGAAACTAAATCCAGTTTGTTAAATTAATTATGGAATGTAAAGCATCAAACTATTAAGATACTCGTTGTTTATAAGTGTGTCACAAGTTTGTCATGTTAAACATGATCATATAATGATTTTGCATTTTTTAACAGATTCTCGTTCTGTACGCCTCAACGTATGTTCTTGTCTCACTCAGTATCGACAGGTTCGATGCTATAGCAAGACCGATGAATTTCTCCAGACGAGGTAATTATTAAGAAAGAAACTGTTTAATTGTTTAATTTTGTGTTCGAGAGCTTTCAATTAAATGAAACCCACCCAGAGTTAATAAAATATAAAACTCCTGTTTGATGCAGACTTAGAAATCTCAACCCGAAAGTAAGACATTTGTTTAAAGCAACAAGCTTGGTCGAGCATTAAAAGTAAAAAATCCTACCCTTTAATACTGTCAAAATATGTTTAAATTCTGAACTAGCGCTCAATCGTCATTGGCGAGCGCGCATATGTTGCTTAAAAATTGTGTAATACCAAAGTGATATCACGATGGTGCCGTTTTCAATATAAAAACTCGTATTAGCTGTCTTTCGTAAGGTAAGTAAAGACAGCGTTATATTTCTTAACGAAAATGGTTATGTACCCGTGAAGACTGTTGGAATAACCTATCTCATGCTATTTGTAAAATACATGCAAATAACTGATCAGTGTTCAATTTCATATATCACGATTGATTACAATCAGTAGACTCTGAAAAACTCAACCATCTTGTTTGATAAAGACGCTTATTTTAATTGAAAGGTATGTTTATACTTGCTTTTTAATGTCAGCCTCTAACTCAATGATTGTATTATCGTTAATAAGACACATACAAACAACAAATCCATATAATCTCTCATCCTCTTGGAGTGATATGGGGGAACCTCAACCACTAGGGGGAAGATTCTTAAGTTGCCAAAAACGAGGCTTTGCCAACAGCTTGGCAACTTAAGAATCGTTTCCGGAGGGAAAGAGAACAAACATTGTTATTCGGTACCAGACCAACAAAGTAACAATGTTTCAAACTGAGCATAGATATTTCACATGTACTTGTTCCGGATGATTGTATATTGCTATATCAGTTAACACTATAAATTCCCTGGTATATAGTGAAAATCGAAAAGTAAGATTTCTCTAAAGGATATTTTTCATATGCTTTTATCCTAGATGGTGATAACTATACATGTCTGTGGTAAGGGCTTACTTGTGTTATTGTGAACAATGTTCTGGACTGGACAGGAGATGATATGTTTACGTCGTTTTAGTAGAGGACCGTTCGCTACGTTAAGCCATATCGTTTCACTTTCATTGACATATGGTCCACGACGTCTGTGACTATTTGTTTCTCTCCTTAGTTGCTGCGGTTGATATTTGTTCCGCTATCGTTTCCGATTTTACTCTTTAGTGGTGACGCCAAAAATACATTTCCTTTACTTAGCTTTAAGGTAAAGGGTAAATGGTACCATTGCTACCGTCGCGAAATATTTGTTTAAGTACTTTCAAAAAGAAATGATCTATACAAATCACATGTTGCCATGCATTTAAGAACAAGTCCTAACTTAAGGAAATTTCCATTAGCTCCAGAAACCCTTTACAATAGATGTGCTCAAGATAAGGAACGGCAGTAGATCTAAAGACAGCTCTTTATCTCTTTAAATTTAAGGCCTTATTTAAATAAGTTTTCTTAATTTGTCACAATTTACAGATTACGCATTTCGTAAAATCTCTTAACAATCTCTAAAAGTTATGTACCGGCAACATGAATAACTCATTTCGTAGGATGCGCATCAACATATTTACAGTGAGAGGGTCATTTGCTGATTAGCTAGCGTTACTTCTATATATATCATTGTAATTGCTCTACATTAATATTCCTTAGTTGATTAATTCTGCTTTTGATTACATCGCGTACGCGCAGTTAAGAGGCCATACGTAGTAAACTAATCATTTTGTCGTGACTTACATATGAGACAAATTATATATCACAATAATTTTGTAATAAAAATGAATTATCTTTCGGAAAAAAAAATTGTCTCGTGTTTGCTTAATTAAGTGACTTTCCAATTCAGTGTTGAAATGGCATGTTGACGGAACTATAAAAAAATGATTGAAGATCTAGGTCAAAAAAACAATAAAATTTGAGGTCCATTGCACGTGGTATTTCTTCTGCTGACATGTAATTGCAAACTGACATTTCGTAATAATTTCGCCAAAAGAAAACAAAATTAAGTGTAGCAAGCTATCGGACGATCAAACATTGGATCACATATCAGTATCCAAATTGAAAAGATAGTATATTTCAAAGGAAATTTGTAGGCATTGATAATACATCTTAGGTAAATAAGAGAAGTCTAGGCAAAAACAAAACAGAATTGACTGAAAATTTCAATAGGTTACCATGGCAAGCATAATGGTGAAAACAGAAATTATAAATACTTTTATTAGAGAAATTAGGAGGGAATGAAAAATTTAAAACAAATGCCAAAAACATATTCAGTTCTTTATCATAAACTCCATTGCGTCAATGAAGAGATAAAATCTGAACCCGAAATAGATACGGAAAACAAAACAAAACGGGGATATCCGAAACTTTGTGAAAACCCCATAAGCTCCTTCAATTCATCTTAGACACTAACAAGACCCCCTGCAAAGTAAACGTGAGGTTATCGGTATGGAATGTTTACAGTCATGTTATACTCGGTTAAAAAACAACCCCCAGTTAATTATTTACATCTGTTTCACACTGAAATAAAAAGCTTACTTATCATTTTGTAAGGGAAAATATAAATCTCAATAAATATTAAAGTTTAAGGTCTAACTTGCAATTACAGTTAATTGCTCACTAGAGATCGCCGGCATATTATTCTAAATTCAAGGTCATAATGGATGTTGCAAAGAGTAAAAATAAACGTTTACGATTTTCGAGCACCCGATTTCCTATTCCTATTCTATGTAGCACAAGCGCTCGCATTTAATATAAACATGCAGAAAGAACGTCAACTTGTATACGTTATTGACATGTAGATTTGAACCTGGTTCGGTATTATACTCAAACTTCGTTTCTGTCATTTCAAACGGTTTCGGATTTTGGGATGAGGGAGTCTACTTCATTGCAAGCGATGCTGCTTCATAATTCCTTTTGGTGAAATTATTGTACTTGTAATCGCCTAATTAAACCTGTCGTTTGATATTTTGATCAACTGATTTACGATTTACTTTTTGTGAAACGGCAATTTGATGGTAACGTATGGTTTATGTTAAGTATTGATTCCGTGGTGTTTGAAAATGTTAATGAGTTGTAATGAAAGACATTGTACATTGGGGAAAAGAACATGCTCACTGATTATAGCTATTTGCTAGTACAAGTAGGGGCATCGGAAGAGTATTTGACATTCATGAGTGAATAGCAATGTTCTTTCAAACGGATCTGTCCAATTTGTTGTCTCTTTATCTTGTTCTGGGTTATCAGAGTCTTGTCCCGATGGAATACGTCCCTCGCAACAGATCGTTTAGGTTATAGATAGTGGCAGGAGGCAAACATTTGTCTTTGATTTTATGTTGTAGGGTTTTCTGTTTATAGTGACTAATATTGACACATATATTCGGAAATCAGAATTTGATATTTTCTTTCGACTCAATTGTGTAATTCCTTTTTCTCATATGGCCAGTTGACGGTTAGTTTCCTTATCGGACGTGAAAAGGTATGGGATTAGATTACGTACGTGTGTTTTCTCCGGGTACTCCGGTTTCCTCCTACAGTTACGACTCCTGTATACTACACAGAAAGAGTTATGAATAAAACGTTAATGCATAATTGTTGCAAAATGTGTGCCTATTGTTCAATAGTCCATGCCTTAATCGTGTTACTTGTAAAAGTGTCGTCCCCGAACCGGAAACAGATATTGTGATGTCTCAGGAATAATGTTAGGGTCTCCTAGTTGCAATTTATAACATAACTATATATCATCAACAAGATTCATCAGTTTGGAAATATGTTATATCAATGCTTTACTTTTTATACATACGATTTACGGATTTAACATGCCGCAACGTTTCAAGACCGACTGGTCCCCTTGTAAAAGCTATCTTGTTTGTTTAGAAAGAAAAACTTTGATATAACAATATATAGTTTGCTATTGAGTATGCTCTGCTGGTCGAAATGTTGACTAGTTCATTCACTATCAATCAACTTTAGCTTTCAGAGCCCGTATGTTAATATACAGTGCTTGGATTCTGGCGGCCATCTTCTCTATGCCTGCTTTGGTATTATTCGAGGCGAGAACGGAACCTAACTATAACAACATAACAATGTGCACAATCAGTCTGACAGCCTTTCACTGGAAAGTAAGTATAATGCAAAAAAAAAACTAGGAAGGTACATTTTCTTCACAAACAAAAACGTCAACTGTTTTTTGCAATGAAAGCTTAAATGTCGTGTCATCTGAATGTTCTTTAATATCGTCGAAGGGACTGCTGGGACGTCTTCACGATATCATTTTAATTGCAAAATTTACGAAATTGTGGCAAAAGTCATTATTATATTTCACCGTTACAAATATCATTTAAAATCACGTGTATTTTATGTTTATAATTTTCTTCCTCATATGCTGTCATCATAAAAACGTATAACCCGTTCACAATTCTTCGTTTCATATGAGATTCAGGAAACGACTTCTAGAATGTTGCATGAAGCGAGCCTCTGATTCGTTCACTGAATCTCGAGTAAAATGGAAATGAATTTAATGGCCTTGTATCACATGATAAAGACTTTTTAAAAAAGATAATGAAATTCCGTCATATGTGTTCTTTATCTATTGTCATTATATTGACGGAAAAGGGAGACAATAGATAAAGATCACAGATGACGGAATTTTATTATCTTTTCAAAAAAAGTCTTTATCAAATGATAATAGATTCTGGTCTATGACGTCATTTCATCAGTTCTTACAACCTTCATCCTATCATCTTATACAAAGAAACAGTATATTTCCCTACCACACCATGGTGGCGACCCTACTACTTGTCCAAAGTCTTCTTCAATCTGCTTCTTTGGAAACCTTATGCTGTAAATTTGCCTGTCAACAATCGGCAACTATCACGATTATTCACAATGAAACAAATCCTAAGCCTACAGATTAGTATGAATTATACAACTTGAATATTAAAATATCAGTGTATGCTTATCCGTGTGCACCGTAGTGTAGATGCCACTACTATGTACCCGATCCATCAATTTGTCAACGTGACTTAACTTGGAGGTGACCTAGATTAGATTGGCATGGCATGTTTTGTTAAAAAAGCGGGAGACGCTTTCCTTCTGGAATACTTTATCTTATTATCCTTGTGTTTTTCAGAGGTACCCATTTTATATTTCTTTTGTTAATATTTAACCCTAATTCCAGGATTTTTTTTATACGACCTACATGTTTGTCCAGACTTGTGTATCCTCTTTTCGATTTCTCCTGAACTATCATTGTGTAGAATGTAATGTGCTAGATCTCAACGTACACAGACCCAAGTTATCCTGGTAGTTACATTAACGTACAACATGTTTTTCTATGGTAAAAAGTAATGCGCATAATCTAAAATGGTTCCATCTTCAAATTAAAACATATTTACCCGGTATAAGTTTAATTTTTGATATTTTCATTCGTGAATCGCAATAAGAAAAATATCAGCAATCATGCTATACTCATGAAATATTTTGATCGAGTGTTGCTTGAGGTTAAACGAATCTCGCAACAACCAAGGTCAGGGGGACACCGCCGAGCTGATAAGAAGGGATGAGAGCAAGTTAAACTAAAAAGAAATCATTTAAAAGTCAATGTGAATCTAATTGATGTTTTCCTATCCTATTGTATGTAATGGAACTGCCTACGCTTTTGATATCAGGGATTAATCTTGTACAGGAATTTGGGGCCACGATAATCCATCAACCTTAATCCTCCAACAAAAGTGGTTAGATGGTGAGATAGCTAAATAAATGAAACCTTTTTATAGAAAAGAAGAGGTAAATATTTCTCCTAAAACAATGGCTGAATAGCGCCAATAGGATATCTGGTGGCTAGGTTACAAAGTCGGCGCGACATTGATTGTAATTTAATTATATATATTGAAAAACACTGCAGCAACTGTTAGTTATAGATATATATCCGATTTGTGTCTGATGATGCTTCGGAACACAACAAACAGCGAAAACTGCCTGATGAAGTCATTTAAATGGGGGATTTTTTTCAAAAACAAGTAGCTACAGCATACATACCGGAATGTGTATGAAAATATCTGACATGGTATTGAATATTCTTTCAAATGAAAACAACCCGGATCTACATTTTGTATTGACTAATAAACAGTTAATACCTGCTTAACTGATTTTCCAACATAACCAAATTAGTGGTAACGTTTGTCAACTAATTTCACACAGTAAATGCATTATGCTCAACGAATCACAGCATCCCTTTTGTAATAGTGTTATTCATATGTGTTAAAAAAAACAGTAGTTTTTGTCAGGCACTCAGGACAGCGGTGTGCACTTTATAAATGCATTTTGCTCCTGTCAAAAGGAAAATCTAAGGGTGATTTTTTTTATCATATTTTTGATGTTACAGTCTCATTAATAGAGAAGTGTCGATCAACAGCCTCTTTGTGAAAACTGATTTTAACACCAAATAAAGACAAATGTTTATAATGAATTTGCTTTCGATCGATTCTGGGCCTCACCATGACATTTATCCATTAACATGTAACGCCTGAACACCGTGTCTGTCTGCCGACTGTCAAATAGCCTGCTGAAATCACACTTTCTTTCTGCAGCAAGTGGTTTTTTTTTTATCTTCATGTGGATTTTCTTCCATGCGTTTAACATGATCCATTAGATTGTGACATATATATAGCAAATAGTAGGTGTTCGTAAATGAGGAAAGTCCTAAGTAAATGATTAGCCCTAGCAGTAACAGTTATTATGATATTGACCCTCTTCAACCGTACAACTTGAACTTTAATAAAAGGGAGTATGTCAGGTATTTGTTAATTATAAAACCGTAAGTGGTATAAAGTGTTTTGAAATGAAAGTCGATGAGATGTTGTTACTGATAAAAGGACCTATATATCGTTGCTAAAATAAGACGAAAATAAGATTGCGTATAGACGGTGCTGTGTGCGGGTGATGAGACATATATCTATTTTAACCAGGTTTAATAACATATTTTATCACATAATGTACTTTGGTATCCATATTTTTGCGTATTAACCCATGTAGTATGACCTATCAGTCCTGTGATTGGTTGTAAGCTTCAATTGTTTCAAGTACTTGACGTCACAGGCTTACGCACTGGAGTCAAAATGGCGGCTTTTTACATTTCAAGGTTGCATGAAAATTGTCGTTTTACACGAATAAATGACACAAATCGTAATTATGTGATATAAAGGATCTTACACTCGTTTTCATTTAATATGAAATTTATGAAACTCGTTACGATTTTTTTTATTTCAGCTCGCCTGAGGCTCGCTTAATTGAAAAATTCTTAGACTCGTTTAATAAAATTGAAACTCATGTAAGATCCTATATTTATATAGAAACTAAATGTATAATAAAGTCTTGTAGTATTTTTCTTTATTAGTACTGGATGCAATTAAGTGGATGTTTTCGAGTATTTACTAGTAACAATATAAATGTAATCACCCTGATGCCGAAATAGGTATGATCATTGCTTGTTTAATGAGCTTGGATTGCAAGGACGGTAACAAAGCATTATATTTTCTGAATTTAAAACAATTATTCCGACAAACTTTTTTAATAATTGTACCGCTTATGTTTCTATAGTCGACAGTTTTCGGATTTATTACAACAAGCGATACACAATCACGATGCCTCGTTATATAAAACAGCGTTAAAATGTGCATCATATTCCACCGAATTGAAGCAATGCTTTTAGATTCAATAGCCTGAATAAGCAGATTAAGATTTAAAGTATCTGGTTTCATTTACAATCTTCCAAAACAATGTATTTGATCATGACTATAAATTTAGGAAGATGAAGGCAACACAAACAAAACTTAATGCATCCTTAAAGTTTGGTAATAGATACAGAGTGGCTCATATAATTCTAGGTCTAATCAACGAGATGTCACGTCCTGAAATCAAGAACCCGGGTAGTGACAACAAAATCATGAGGCACTTTAATGAGCTAAATAAAAACCATCGACCTTCATGTCACACAAAATAAAGGCATAGCTCCCTATGAGATCGTGACGGCGACCATAACACTTCTCCATACTATTCGTCAATTTTCTATCAGGTGACAGGTCTATAATATGTTTACATTGTAGACTGCAAAATAACTGGCTTGGTTATTCTACGTTTCATTGTTTCATATAATACACGTTTAACAATAACACAACGTATAATAAACCCCATTTCACGAATTGTACATAATAATGAACTTTTAAATAAGATCACTTACTTCAATCACATTGTACAGCAATGCCTCTATAAAGATAATAAACATATATATAGTTATTCATTTATTTATCTTACTAAATTGTTCCAGTTTATAGAAAGTCCATACATTTATAGTTGAAAAGACGGAGAGAATTTATATAGGCTTTGCCTGTTATTCAATCCAATTGATTATGACATCTTGTCAATAAAATTTGATGAAATGAAAAATAGTTGAAAAGATATCTATTTCGTATATTTGAGTATAATGCGTTCCAAACAAGATGGTTGCTAATTTGAGTTAATATGTTTTCGTTACAGCTATATTTCACGCTAGTAGCACTTAGTGTGTTCATCATTCCAGCCGTGATAATAACAGTATGCTACAGTGTTATTATTATCATCATCTGTCAGAAGAGTAAACAAGACAGTCACAACACCAAGCAGACCACACCACGTCAGGACGACGGGGCAGGTAACGCCATCATAAGTCCATCCATCCATCTTTACGTTTGTCACAATGAGTTCATCCTCGATATCCACTTTCATTTTCGCTCTCTGGACCCCTGTAATATGTCATAGCAAAATTGAAGGCCCGAAGACAGCTGTTTGATTGGTCTCAGGTAAAAAAATCCTGACCAATCGCTACGCTGTTACCTGTCCTTTGAGGATTACAAAGGAGCGACACTCGACTTCAAAGTCTGTCACATTTTACGGTTACGTTACCGCGTAACTCTTTTGATGTACAACAAAGATTCGAACTAGTCTTCTTGTCTCATCAACAAGGTGGTGCACACTGAGCCTTCGATTTTGCTATGACATATTCCAGGGTACGTTACCCCTGGATATCGAGGATGCAATGAGGCTACACAACACTTAGTTCACCAAGCAGTTGTCAAATGTGTCCTTTAACGCTCTTACGGCGGTCCTTGTTACCGAAGGTATTGATTGCAGGCTAAAACTTCAAGAAATATCCTAGTTAATTTGGCTCAGGGGCGGTTACTCTCTGTTCCATTCACTTGCGATGATTTCGTTTTACCTTTTTTGTAGAAAGTCTCGCTATTATCACTATTTTCTGTGTCTTACTAGCCGGTCAAGTCACATGTGAATGTTATAACAATCAATATAACCTATTGACGGTTGGTTTTCACTTTTATTTAACCCGAGTTAGTTAATTTCCTAATTGTATAAATACACGAGATTTATCGAGTGTCTGTTTCAGTTTGACAATTACTTACGAGGGTTAAAAATAAACTTGATAATTAACCATCACAATTTCGGAGACCCTTTTTCTCCCACAGCGTTAAGATACTGTCTCAAGAAAACAATTTATTTCTCTTAGAATGTATTCCTGTTTCCAATTGCCATGGACAATGAAATAACAATAGAAAATGACGTTTGCAAAACATTGTTACTTGACAGCTTCATTAGAAGACTGGCAAGGGAAATAGCGCCTAGGGTTTACCCCACTAGTGGGTAACAAAAATGTTTACAAACTCCTAGCAGGTCAAATCAATGAGTCTGCAGTGAGAAAATCTATAGTGGTTGTTGGAAAATTCGGCAAAACAGTACATTACAATTTTGTGTTTAGGTATATATCGCTATCTCCCGTCTGACAATAGCAGTAATATTTATTTATTTAATTAGAAACAATTGTGTTCCTTATCGCGTTGATGAATATGTTGCTATAATCTACATAGAATGTTTTACAGTAAATCTCAAATACCCAAAATTGTCTCACTATACAACACTTTTCTATAATCATCCAATTAAATACATCATTTGGTTTTTGAACAGTTTTTCTTGAAGGACGAGGATTCGGTGGGGCTCGACATGCGAAGGGAAGCTCTGTTATACAGCAAGCCAAAATAAGAACGATAAAGATGACATTTATCATTGTATTAGGTAAGACCAAGACAATGAAAAGAACTAGTCTACAGTACTATCCAGACATCAGTAATATGATGTATAAAATGTATTATTTATGTTTGAGTTATCTCCCTTGAATTTTACTGGACCGGCAATATATGTATGTGTCATTTATTGCAGTGCTTATTTATCATATTTATAGAAGAATATATTGGGTGTTTTGGGTATTATTCATGTGTTAGTTGCAGGTGTTGTTCATGGTATTTATGATATAGTCTTTCTTTGGTATATATTCGGATATCAATTACCGGACATTTTAAGTAATTATGTTTGGTATATGTTGCAGTTTAGAGTCTGGTATCTTTATATATGTCTGATATTTATTTGTAGTATTTGTCCTGTGCTGGTGCCCGTATATAGTGTTCAATCTTCTCCATCTGTACGCGTTCTCCGAGGAACAGAAAAGGTCGCCAGTCCTGGGAGCAGTAACGGCATGGATACAGAGTATGGCTCCTCTAAACAGCGCAGCCAACCCAATAATCTACGGTGTATTTAGCACGAGGATTTGTCGCAACCTCAGGTATATAAGATATTTAATATGGAAATATTTCTAAATTTGCCTAGAGTATTCCACTTTCCATTGTTCAACCATAATGTAATTAATAGACTTATGATTGCAATCGATTTGACTAACATTTTATCATATGATATTTTTTTTTATTTTCACTATTTATAACTCTACAATAAATACAAAAATAAATTACAAATAGATACACTGACAATAGCGATTTCAATATGTTAAGGTTAACGGACATACGTCTGGTTCTTTTTTATATTTTGCTTCCTTGATATAACGATATGCAAATACATGTAATATCGGCTTAAATTTAAACCTTGACGTTAAATCAGAAATGTTGACCATATTCTTGTAGAAGAATGTGTGTTCATATTTATGTCAAAATCCCGGAAAATGTGTGTTCATGCGGTTGGGTGTATCAACCTAAATATTTCTTTGACCGCCTTCGTGCATAGTGGTGTTTTTTTACCATACGCTATATTCAACATTATCACAGAGTATGTACATGTACGAGTTGTATCCCTTTAACTGTTTACTTTTACTAAAATAATAATTGTAGATATTAAACAAACCTACAGAAAATAAGACTCGTAACCAAACGAACAAACAAATATAAAACTATTTTCATCCGGGTACAAATTATCTGCTGATTGTCGTTTAATTTAATATAACTCGAATATTGTCCATCGCAATATGATTGTTTGTTTTCCTTAATATCAAGATAAGTAAAACGTTCTTGAGAATCTAACGGTGAATATATTTTTTTTAAATTGCAGAAGAAAGAGGAAAACATTAATAGGGTCTGGTTACATCAGACCTATTATTCCTTTAACAGACTCTCGACCATTTCACTCACTGTCACAGAATATCACTTTGACACACAGAACTAGATAACGCAGGTGATTGCACGTGCATCCAATAACATATCGATTATAGTTTGTACTATATATCTTATTCATTGTAACGATATAATATGCACATATCATACTGTTTTTGCATGGATATAATGTTGAACGACTATAATAAAAAAAAATACAAATATTTTATTACCCCAGCCATTTTTTTTATAAATATGTATATACATATACTGCTTCGAAGCAGATATCTATATACATATGTAAATATTTTTATAATGGATGCCAGGGTTGTGGAGCCCTGGAGTCAGCCCCTGAACAATATGGTGTCCTCACGCAGGAGGGTTCTCATTCAACATCCATCAGTCAAACAATAAATAAATAAATAGGAAGGGCAATGGGAAAATAAAATATTTGCAAATAGAGTCCAGGACAAGAACACAAAACATACTTCTTTCACACCCTAACAAATTCCATATACAACATAATATTACAAACAAGGATAAACATAGCACGTCTAGTATACACAAAAAAACATAATACACATACAAATACATCCACATATATACTCATACACACATACATACATACATGAGACAGACAGACAGACAGACAGACAGACAGTACATACACACATGTATACATTGAGACAGACTTACATACATTGAATCAGATTCATCATTATGCACGCATAATTTCAAGCAGTTAAGAAACAATAATAAATACACTGTGCAAACAGTGTCAGATATACATGTATATATATATACACATGTGTATGAATATTTCTATGACACATGCATGTGGTCATTCACATTGATATGGACATATACTGACATCAATTTTCAAATAGCATTATAAAACCGGTTTTCATACAGGTTTTTATGTCCGCTAAAAAGGTAATTATAAAACAAAACAAACACAAAACAGCACATACACCCACTCACACCATAACATACCGGATATATGCAGTTTTATTTTTATCAGATTACAGTATTTCATCACAAAATCAAGATGAAATTTAAATATTCATTTCAAGAGAAAGAGTATCAATTATATGAACAAAGATACAAATTGTGTAAACTTGTTAGTTAACATGATAACACTGTCTATTTAGTTTACATCTGGAAATATCATGTTTGTTCAAATTGAGTTTCACGTTGGTGTTGCCAAAATAGGCTTTATTAGACAATGCTCAGGTTGCTTTTAATACGGAATGTATTCTACTCAGTTTCATCATAAAAGATAAAATTTAGTAAACCCTTTGACAACGAGTTAAGAAACACCCCATCCCCCTTCGAAAAAGAAAAGAACCCACATGAGAATTAATGTAAAAATGCTGATAATAGGGGAAAACAAGCAGGTTAAGTTGTGTAAGACATCTAGTCCTTTAGAGTGTTTCTTTAAGAAATAACAGACTTACGTCACACTTTTAAAACTTTTAATACAAAAATAAATGCTTTATCCTCACCAATAGGCCAATCATACAATAATACACAACAATAACAATATACCTTACACTTATATCTTAATTCACTATTGGCAAAGACCCGGATTACACTTTACAAAAAATGCCGTAAAGTGTTCCAGTGTTGTAAACACTATCGTATCGTGTGACTACATTTATACGTCTGAATTTGTCACTGAATATAAGTGCTTGAACTTACCTGGTGGTCTGACTTATATTTAAAGACATTTGCACATCATAAATGGAAATGTTTAAACGATTATATTGTATACGACATGTGGATGATAAGATAATGTTAATAGCAATGATATCAAATGAAGGACCTAAACAGACATTAGAATATATAGTTTCCTTGGCATGCCTCAAAAATGAGTTATAGTATAATACTTGACGTTTAACGCAAACCATCTAACAAAATACTCTATTCCACAAACGCCTTAACACGTAATCTATTTATTTATTAGTTTCTCCATCAATGCTGACAGATGTGGCTGACTTCTGTGTTCCGTTTTTCAATCAGCCATTGCTACAGTCTATCAGTGCCTGACTCTGTCAGGATAAAGCGTCTTTACTTTATCATTTAAAATTGCCAACTTTTCTACAGCAGCACATTTTGTGATGATGGAAAGGGGAATACTGAATTGGTTTCTCTTGCCCATCTACAACGCTAACGCCTTTGTCAGCCTTGGGCATCTTATTTCCGGATCACGCTACGCACTAGTGATTTATTTATTACATCATTTCTATTGATGAAAAGCAAGTAATTTGGGGTAATTTTTTATCATTGTATCCTTTTTAGATACTAACTGCCTAATTCATTTCAAAATGTGTTTTATGCTATTTGATATTATTTATTTATATATTTATTGTTGTTTTTCGTGTATCTAGATTAAAGTATGTACAATTTATATCAAGCATGCCCAATATTATTTAAACAAATACTTACTTAAAAAACGTGAGATGCAACCAATATGTGGTAGGGTTACGAGTCGTATTAAAACGTGGATATTGTCATTTCACTGTCATTGTCTGAATTTAAATAGAAATTAAGCGTGCTAATTTCAAAGAAAATGTGTAGTTATCAGCTTCAATGTTCACATACCGCTATGGTTTGCGACGACCAACATTTGTCCTGGTACGACGAAAACAAAGTCATTCGAATGTTTATATTACATAGGTATAGCAAAGGGTAATGGCTTATACTTGTTTGTAATGTACAGTTGGAATATTTCAAATTGTGCATTAATGGCATAAATCTTATCGAGAATTTGTATTGATGCTACAAAAAACAGTTTGTATAAGTTTGACNGTTCATAGCCGTTCTAACATAGTCACCCCCCCCCCCCCCCCAAAAAAAAAAAAAAAAAAAAAAAATGTTCATGAATTTAATTTTTAACCAATGTAAGCTGTAAGCCAGAGAGAACTATGATTATATTAATTTATTGTTGGAAACGGATACAAGTTACCTATTTCAACCAACAGCAAACACAATTGCATTACACTCGAATATGATAATCCTATCAAATTTGCGGTATTTTGTTTACCTTTGGCGAGTGAGAATGTTTAGCCTTTTAGGTATTTGACTATTTGAGGAATGAAGAAATAGTAATTGAACACTTGACTACTTTATATATTTCCTGGATCTATCTTTTATTGCAGGCGTATTCCGTTGTTCAACTACATTGCCAATGCCCTGTGCAGGTGTCAAAGGGTACGGAATGTTAGCAGCCGATTGTCTCACACCACATCCTGGAATGATCCCACCTACCTGACAGACGCCTCCTTCTCCTCCAAATATCGCCGCCCCGGTGGAGTCCGTAGAACTTTCTCCGACTCCGAAAGTACCGTATTAGCTTCCAGTAGACATGCGCATCCAAGATCAATGTCTCAGCAGGGAAATTTCCGACGGTCTATTTCCAGTAGCAGTCAGGAATTTAAGTCTATTGGTTACCGTAGACCATCTGGCCTGCCATTGGTTAAGAGAAACCTGACTTTTGAGGATAACCACTTGTTAAAATCATTGACTCAGCGACCAACAAATACAATATGTGAATCAGAAATATTGTGAATGTCTGCCAATCAAGCATGGGAGACGGTCGCATACATTATATGTATATGTGTATATTAAAATGTCTGTTTGTATTCAAGTTTTACTATTTTAGACATAAATGTTTTATATTCAAATGATTATTGTAAATTTAATTGTATTTACTTATTATCATAAAGAAGCGTCTGATGAAAGCTTTGAAATTTGAATAGCGGGTAAATTAAACTATTGACAGTATTGGACTTTTCAAGCTGTTTGGGGCTAATGTTTGTATACTAACATAGATAGTTTCAGATTTATCAAAATATTATGTTTGAGAGCCAAGACAGTTTACAGGCATGAAAAACGATTTCTTATTTACAACAGGTCAATACCATCAGCCAGAACTCATTGCATTCCCATACAATCACTGTGTTGTGCCAACGTGGTCTATGACACGATACTGAGGACTCAAAAATCGTAGTCACCAAACCGTTTTGTTGAAACTATTCACTATTGTTATTTGTAGCAGACAGTCAAGCGTCACATTGACAAGTGTACCCAATACCACGTGCCAAATGTTAGTATTTTATACTCATGTCACCGATATTTCATCTCATAGACATACAAAATAAATATATACAACAGAACGGTTGTCAGTATGTCAACTATTACTCGTGCCATATGAATTATATTTATACACCGACGTATACATTTATAACAATGAAAGGCTCGGTGCATAATATTTAGAAATACTATGTTAGGAAAATTCGTAAATGCAGATATCAAACAAAGTTGTCCAATTTGACCATTTAGAAGAATGATTTCGTCATGTACTAACAATCATTAATGTCCGTCCATTTATTAAGTCGATTTCAACAATTTAGAAATAAAATTTGAAAAAAAAGGCATTAGAGGGCAATAATTGTGCGAGATATAATAGCAAGATATATATATATATATATATAT